GGAGTGTTTACCTGTCCGGAAGCTTCGCCCAGTGCATCCCATAAATCAGCAGTGACTGCATTACTGTACTGGAATTTTTTCAGATAAATTTGCAGGCCTTTCTGGAATGTCTCTTCACCTAGGTAGTTGCACAGCATACGATTCACCGAATTCGATTTTGCATACGTTATGCTGTCATAAATTTCATCCAATTCATTGGGGTTGTCAATTTCAACCTGAAAGAAGCTATTTTGCACTGATGAAACTCAAATTCTGAAACAGGATTTATAAGGCTTAATGGATTGAGACGCTTACTTTTTAGCTATTCTACGTCGTTCATTATCAATTTATTAAGATGGCTTGTATTGATTAGCATGGAAATGTCATTTCTGTGATTACTAAAAAGCATCCACTTCTCATTTGCTGCTATGCCAAGTCCTTCCGTCCTAAGCCACATGCCCACTATCTTGTCTGGTTTTCGAGATCGCCTTCTTGCCAAAAAATTTGCATATTTTTTAAGGCACCAGAACGCGGCACCCAGGCGTACGCGGGTGATGATATTAAAACGGGAGGGTCGCACAGATGTGCAGCTATGCCAAGTCCTTCCACCCTAAGTCACATGCTTTCAGCTAATATCCACTGCATGCATGTACAGGCGCAGCGCTTTTGAAGGCGCACTAACCAGGCGACCACCAATTTCTTGTACAGATTAATTACTTTTATAATATGTAAACTCTCGTTGTCAGCATTTTACTCGTGTCACTGCAACGACTTCGATGTTGATCATCTGTCTGTTTATTTGTATAGCAATGAAGACTGCCATAACTTAAAGAAGTAAAATGCTGACCACTGGAGGAGGGGGAGAGGGCGAGGAGGGGAGAGGGAGGGAGCAGGGGTCTTTCCACCACCCAAAAACTCGGGAGCAGCTGTTTTACTGTAGAAAACTCTGTTCGATACCGCCTGTCACCCCCCTCCCCCTCCATTCCCTTTCCCAGGAGATTGTCCTGGATCCGTCTATGATGCTGACAAACGGGTTGACGGGGCATAGTCTCGGCTTCATTGTTCTCCATGCCGCAACAGGCTTTCGCTCTTTTGCCAATCCACAGTGCTAAAATTCCACGTCTACACCACTATGCCTTCATCACATTATACTGTCCAAATTATTTAGGATGGTCTTTTGACTAAGATTAGCGATAACAGATGGGCGAAGCGGAAAGATGAAAGGTCTCCCGACAATTAAAAGCACACTTGAACAATTCAGCGCGGATGCTGCGAGCTTAGAACTACGAATGGTGGAGAAGTTGTTCAGCTCCATCAATGGCGGATTGTGCGCCGTAAGTCGATTTCTCAGCTTATTTCAAAAAAAAGTACCTCAATAGGATGAGAGCTTTTTAAAGCATCCAGATTGAAGCCGGAAGCGAGCTCGTCATTAACAAAACGAAGCCATATACGAAATTCGGGATAATTGTAGCCCACAAACATGTATTCCATGAATGATGCGAATCCCTCTTTCAGCCATAAATCTGTCCACCATTTCTACAAAACAATAGAAATTCTCTGGGCTGAAGAAATGCAACGCATCTATCATTATTTTTGAAAAAAAAAAAGCAATAATTCATACGATTACCTGCAGGAATGTTATAAAACTGACGCAAATTCCCATAAGAAGACTATCAGATACTTTGGCGCCATGAACGTGTGGAGCGCTTAAACCAGTAGCCTCTCGAGTATTAAAATAAGGTCATGCGCAGTCAAATAAACAAAACTGACCATGGTTACGAGATTTCCAAACCAAAGATGCGCAAGCTCATGCGCAACAACAAGCGCCACATGAGATTTCTGCCGCGTCGAGGATTTCGTCGGTTCGACCAGAAGTGCCACTTCACGATAAGTTACCAAGCCCCAGTTCTCCATTGCTCCTTAAAACTCGTTGATTAACAGACAGAAATAATACAAAATAAAAATTCTTTTAATCGATGAGCATTTTATACAGAGTTTAATCTTCAGTCAAAGCCCCAACAAGATATTAGGACCAGAAGTGTTTCTGCTTGTCTCCGAAACGAAATATGGCCACTTTTGAAAATTTATCTACGATTAACTTCAAGCACAAATCCTCAAACGGGTAATGGCTTTCCAGAGGGACGTAGGAGAATACAGACAGATGAGCTGGAGGACTAAAAACGCAGCGGAGACGCAAAATTAGCTAATTATTCTTTTTTAAAAGAAATAAATAGCAACGCGCACCAGACTAGCCGGGTGCGATCATGCGTTTTGTGCAATTCAGCCCATCGAACGATTGTCTATTAATGATTTTCACTGCT